ACAATTTTGTGGCCTTAGCCACGGGAGAGGTAAGTGGCCAGAGCAGAGGTAGTCCAACTTAAATGAAGTGAAGTTGGCAAGTAGAGCTGACAGAAAACTGAAGTCCAGAGCATGGCCCGTCTGTAGCCGGAGCCCTCACTGAGTACCGCTGCCCTGTAGTACTAGGAACCAGTCACATCTTCTGGGTTTTATAAACTGAATCCGGAAATACAGCCTGGTTTGTTTGTTTGTTGTTTTGAGAAAATTTTTATTTTTAAAACATTTCATTAGTCATGGAAACATATTTGTAGCCTTTGCACCAGAACTTTCTCATAAAGGTAAAGAGCCCAGAGTTTCCCAAGTTTTAAAGAAACAGTGCCCCATTTAAGAAAGTTTATATTCCTCTTAACTCTAGAGAACAAATTGGTGGTTACCAGAGGGGCCAGGGGTCGGGGATGGGTGACATAGGCAAAAGGGACTAAGAGTACACTTAGGATGCGTGCTGAATACTATATAGAATGTTGAATCACTGTATTGTACATCTGAAAATAATATAACATTGTGTGTTTTTATACTGGAATTAAATTATCAAAGGAAAAAGTTCTTATTCTAACTTTCCACCGAGTCAGCAGGTAACTTTTTGATGTGTTTTGGTCAGTTTTCTTGGATCTGTTCTTATGATTAGAAAAACATAACAGGGGAAAGGTGGAAGCTTATGTGAAGTAGAACTGTGTAAAGTGAGAATTATATAAAGGCAGAGGAGGGTGCAGTCTTGGCCTCTCCCGGATCTGTGTGCTGCATGCCTGGCCTGCACGAGCTGCTCACTCAGGGCACATCCAGTGATGAATCTAGTCATCAGTGGTGTCTCTTTTCTGAGGAGTTGTGGGCTGCGCTCTTGGGGGGCCTACCTAATACCTGCCTGGTGCCTCGTGCCACTTCTCACCTTTTCATTCCCTTTTCTAGAAAGGATTTGGCTACAAAGACAGCAAATTCCATCGCGTGATCAAGGACTTCATGATCCAGGGTGGAGACTTTACCCGGGGAGATGGCACTGGAGGTAACCTCACATCGTCTGGGGTCTGTTAGTGCAGCCTCCAGCATGCGGGGGCCGGGCAGTGTTGGGTAGACCTCCTTCTAGCCCAGCTCAAGTCAGGACTGACGCCTGCATTGAGACCAGCTGCATAGCCTTTGTGCAGGGAACCCAGTACAAGAGAAGTGAGGGGGTCATGTGGATATTACCCAGCCAATCAAGGCCTGCAGCCTTGATGACTTTCCTTAAAATATCCCCTGGCGGGGGGGCGGGGGGCAGCAAAGTGTACCACATGGGGAGGTGATTCTGGGTCACGCATGCAAAGCCTGAGTGGGCAACTTTGGAAGCCCCAACGAGGTTGGGAGCAATCTCCCCCCAGAGACCACTTAGCAAGAGCCGACCAAATGTCTTTGCATCACTTGTGCATGTAGGACAGATAGCCTGGACTTCCCTAACCCATGGGTCTCACCATACTTGGGTGCCCAGCATGCTCTTCCCTCAAGACTGCGGCTGCCCCTTACCGCATCAACAGATAGTTATAGTTATTGGGACAGGCTTTGTGGTAGGTGCTGGGTGCAAAAATCAGTGGGACAGCAACTAGCTTTCACTACTAACACCTGGAAATGCACAAGTGGGCTGTAATACTCAGGCTCTGTCCTGCGGTTGTTCACCATCTAGGTGGGAGGTACCAGGTGAAAACAATATGGAAGCTATGTAACAGCACAGACTGAAGTGATAGCCATTGGCAGCAGTGCTGTCAGAGGTCAGAGTAGACATGATGCAAAGCACTGATCGCACGGGGTCAGACACATTTGGGTGACATCAGGCAAGTGAGTCCTCTGAGCTTCAGTTTGTTAATGTAAAGTAAGAGTGGTAAGAGTTGGGGGTGCTACGTGCTAGGTGCCCGGCATATGGTAAATAGGCCATTGTCAAGATGCCACCAATAGAGGAATCTCTTCCGGGCCAAGCTGATCAGAAAGTAGCCTTGTGAATGTGAGGGAAGATTTGAGCTGGGGTCCTGGCTGGAGAGAATTTGGGCAAAGAGGCAGGGCCAAGGTGAACCTAGCTCACTGGGGTCCCAGAGTGGCGGGTCAGGGCCAGACCTAGGAACCTGGGCTTTGTCCTGCATGGAATGCAGTTCCATTGAACGGAGGACCCAGGCGCAGAGTAGCTTTAGGGAGGATGATGTGGCAGTTTTTAATAGGTTTAAGATGCTCGCGAGGGTTCTCTGGCATACGCCAGTACTGCTCTGAGCATTAGCGGTACCTGCAGCGGGGATAGCAGGAGTGCAGAGGAAGGACGCACAACTAATGGGGGTGAGAACCATATGGACAACATGCAAAGGAAAAGTCGCGAGGATAACAAGTCTGGAGGGAAAGATGACAAAGGTTGAACTTTAATTCAAGAGCTCTTCATCTGAGTTTGGGATTCCATGTGTGTTGGGAAAGTGATTAAAGAGTAGATGTGGGAAAATCCTGCAGTCGGTTGAGATTTACAAAGAGGACTCTGAGAGGCCAGGAGTCACTGCAGAGGGCCGGGTCCCCTAGCCTCGGTGTGAGATGTCCCTGTCAGCATCTAGGGACTCTCGAGTTCAGCCTTCCCCACCTGCTAGAGTCAGAAATACCCCCCTGGAGAGCAGCTGTCCAGGACAGCTCCCCAAGCGGGGTCCAATCTGTGGAACCACAGGATGAAAGTAAGGTGTTCTGACGAGGGAAAAGCTTTGTATGCAAGTGAGTTTGCAAGGTATTGGGTAGGGGCACCTGGGCAGCTCAGTTCAGCATTCAACTCCCGATTTTGGTTCAGGTCATGATCTCACGGTTTGTGAGATCCATATTAACAGCACGGAGCCTGCTTGGGATTCTCTTTCCCTCTCTCTCTTCCTCTCCCTCTCTCAAAAATAGAAAAAAAAAAGGTGTTAGGTAAAACAAAATGAAACTTTGTTACTGGGTTTCCTGGGGCCTATAGTCACTAATGCACAGCGTGAGTCTCTGAGACAGGACAGGAAAAAAGAAGGGGACAGGATTTCTCCTGGAAGCAGCTCTGAAAAGTTCAGTGAGGATGTCTGAAATGTTGTAGGGGTCTGCCCCACTCCCTCTGGCGTGTACCTTGGCCTCAGACCCGTTGCAGACAAACACCACACACATCAACAGGCAGCTTTTATTTTGTATTCATTAATAAGAGGTTCTTGATTTTCTGGAACCCAAATGGCAGCCCCTCCCCCCCTCGTCTCAGTGTCTTTTGTGCTTTTAGGAACAAAAGCTGTCCTCTTCCAGAGAGCTCTTAACCTCTCATGTACCCTGCATAGCACCTCTCTCCACCAAAGTCCCTCAGAGTTCCTGTGGCAGACCTCTCAGACCATAGCTAAGGGTAGCTGTTGATCTATGCCTTATTTAAAATCAACAAAACTCTTTTCTCACAGTAATCCATTGATCGGGTGAGCTCTTCACTATATCAGTCTGGCATCGTGCCCCACTTGGTCTGTCGTCATGATTTGGCTCCAAGACCACAGGGTAGGAAGGTGATAGCTTTTATGTCCTTAGAATCCATTTGAGCCTGGTCTGGCACCAAGGTCAGGTCGAGTCCCTGGAATCCTCACCCCAAAGATCTGGGCCTACTCAGCTTCCTGACCTACTCTCTCATCCCAGGTAAAAGCATCTATGGTGAACGCTTCCCTGATGAGAACTTCAAGCTAAAACACTACGGGCCTGGCTGGGTGAGCATGGCCAATGCAGGCAAAGACACCAACGGCTCCCAGTTCTTCATCACAACCGTTAAGACAGCCTGGCTAGATGGCAAGCATGTCGTGTTCGGCAAAGTTCTGGAAGGCATGGTGAGTTTCAGGGGCTAAACCCAGGCAGCTCTCATCAGGAAAGCACTGTATATTTTTATCCTTTTCCCAAAAGGGAACCCAAATTCACAGCAGCATTCAGGTCTACCAGCCTGGGGTGAATCAAGAACTACCCTACGGCTCTGTGTCCGCAAGTTCTCCATTCTTCCAGCCCCAGGCACAGGCTGGCAAGAAGGCCTGTTGAGGCTGCCCGGGTGCCTCCATTTCACCCAGTGATGTGCAGGCACCCCCCTGAATTGTACTGGACACAGCTGAACACGATGTCCCTGAGAAGCCACTTGGTACCACTCCCCAAGGCACCCTTTTCTTTCTTCTCGCCCTTAGCTCAGCCTGGCTCCTGCTTCCAAGGATCAGAACTGTTGCATCCTCTGGGTTCTCCCTGCCCTGGCTTCAATTCTGTTGGGATTTTGGTGCCTGGGGCTTACATGCTGTTTTGTCATATGGGCATCTCCGCCCTCCCCGGCCATATTGTGGGGCCTCTCTGCCTTGCGGGGTGGACCTCTTGACCCACTCTGCTTTACTGCTTCTGCCTTGCTTTCTAGGAGGTAGTGCGGAAGGTGGAGAGCACCAAGACAGACAGTCGGGACAAGCCCCTGAAGGATGTGACCATCGCAGACTGCGGCAAGATCGAGGTGGAGAAGCCTTTTGCAATCGCCAAGGAGTAGGGCCCAGGGACTTCTTCCCTTTGAGCCACCATCTGTGTGGCCCTGTTGCCCTCCGGGCGGTAAAGACAGCCCGCCACAGGGCTCGGTGCCGCACTGGCCCTAGTGCTGGCATCAGATGGAGCGGACCCCTCCTCTCACATTCCACAGGCCTCCAGGCCCGGTTTTGTAACAAACTCCAATCCGTGCTGACCAATAAAACAAAAGGTGGGGTTTTTTTTTTTTTTAAACCGGTGTGTGGGCTGGGTTCTTGGGCCTCCAACACCTACTCAAGTCTGTCCTAGCATGGCTGGGCCTCCTGTGGCAAGGGGGTGCCTGTCCCCTTCTGAGGCTCTGGTCTGAACCCTTTCCCAGATGCTGCCCACAAAATTCCAAGCAGAAGCTTTTACTTCCTGCTTCTAACCTTCGCCACTACCGTGCCTCAACCGTTGCTTGTCCTCTGCCCCTTTCTGGGGTAGGTGAAGAAATACACCTCTCTCTCTTCAAAGCCTACCTCTAAATTCTCCCTTTATTCCTTATCCCCTGTTGTCCCTGCCCTGGCATCTGGGGTTGGTAAGTCCTGGGTCGGGACCACCTGGGTCCAGGCCAAGAGGGACCCAGCCTCCTGAAAAGGGGGCTCCTACGCTGAGGCACATGCCTGTCCTGGCAGGTGGCCCATAGGCCTTTGGGCTGGTCAGGGCACCAGTGGCAAAGGAGCAAGGTGACACGGAGCCTCTGGCTGGCCTGTAGCTGAGCTGGTGCCGAAGCCATAGAGGCCCTGGAGCACGCCATTCACCACCATGTTGGACAGAGGCTCTGGGGGACAAAGAAAAAGGAAGGAAGGGGTGGCGGACTGCAGGGGAATTGAAATGGGGCAGGCCGAGCCTCCGGCCTGCAGCTCCGAGAGCTCCGCTGCCCATCGGCTCAGCCCCCTCCTCAGGAGCAGGAGTCCCCACCGAGGCCAGAGGTAACAAAAGTTGGCGGCCCCAAACGGGGGCATTCCTGGCTCACATCCTGTTCACGTGAACTTGGTAAAGCCAAGCAGGTCGAGAACGGAGCCCAGGAGAGCCAAGTTGGTTTCACCATGTCTGCCTCATCAAGGAGAACACAAAGCAGCCTAGAGCAGCAGCAGGACAGGTGAGGCCCCAAAGGAGGGCATTAGGAGGCAGACGCTGCCTGGGGGTCCGGAGCTGGAAAATGGCAAGTTCACCCCTGACTCCCACCCTGCTCCCAGAGGCCCTAAATACGGATTATAGGTCAGAGCCCCCTGCCTCACCTGGGGATGGAATGCAAACGTAGGGATCCATGTGGAAGCTGATGACAGGCCGGTGGTGCAGTTGGGAGCTGGGGGAGGGAGAGGGTGTCTAACAGTGGAAGGGGAGGGGAGGCTGGGGCAGAGTCTCCTGTCGGGTGGAGGATTAATATCACCAAGCACCCAAAAAGGAACTGGGAAGTGGTCGCGGGGAGGCACGGACGGACAGAGAAACCTTGACCAGTGAGATGGGTCAGACGGCAGCAGGCCTAAGGCCACTAGGGGGCAGCCTGAGTTGGGCGGGGACAGGGGTGAGGGAGTGGGAGGAGCTGGGGCTTCCACTTGCCTGCTGTTCTTTGGCAGGAGCTCCGCCAAGGCGCTGAAAAACGGAGACCCGCTGTGAGCGGCTAACGGTGTAAGAGTTGGGGGGAGGCACGCTCGCGTGAGGAAGGGGTGGAGATACGGCAGCCCAGCACAACACCTCCCAGGGGACCACTGCTTCTATTTGTAACAAGCTCAGTTCCGGAGGTAGCTGGGGTAACCAAGATGGTCTAGAAAAGTCCCTCCGCCCGGGGCAAGAAAGCTAATGAGGGAGGTCATGTCTCAGTCTAAAACCTTTCCTCACCTGCTTGCTGCAAAGATCCCCTGTCCCCCCCACACTGGGGTCCCCCCCAACACTGGGGCCCCTCTCTTGCCCAGCCATGGCCCTTCGAGGTGCTCACCCCCAGCTGCTGGCCTTAGGGTCGGTGGAGAAGTGCCGAAGACTCAGGAATTCCAGTAAATCCTTGGGCACATCCTGGTTCAGGTATAGGACACCCTGGGGAGAACAGAGGAAACCTACAATCAGACCCAGCTATATACATACAGAGCCCAGTGCAAAATGGAAATGCTGAGGAGCCTTCCAAAATGACTAAGCCAGGGGCCCCTGGGTGCCTCAGTCGGTTAAGCAGCCAACTTCAGCTCAGGTCATGATCTCATGGTTCATGGGTTCAAGCCCACGTCGGGCTCTGGGCTGATAACTCAGTACCTGGGGGCTGCATCGGATTCTGTGTCTCCCTCTCTGCCCCTCCCCTGCTTGTTTGTACTCTGTCTCTCTCAAAAATAAACAGTTTTTTAAAAGTTTAAAAAACATCAACAACAACAACAACAAAAAAATGACTAAGCCACAGCAGAGCATTAAACCAAGCTTGGGCCCTTCTCAGCACTGGGCCCTGAGTGACTATATAAGGTGGATGCCCAGGAAGCCAACGTGGCCTATAATCTGGCATCACTGTGAGGAAGAGGCGGGGGAAGGGTTCCCACCCAAATCCTCATGTTGAGGGTAGCACAGGCTCTCACCCTGGAAGGAAGAGAGAACTAGCTTTCACTGAACTCAAACCAACTGCCTTGGGTTACCTCGTTCCATTCTATCAATACTGAGAGGGCTGTTTGGACCCACTACTGTTCAGAAAATTGAGGCTTGGGGTAGGAAATAACACGCTCAAGATGTGGGTCTCCTTCACTCCTTGCCAGCACCTCTCCATCTGGGTCACACCTCTGGCCCAGCAGGCTGGGGGGGCAGCAGAGTGAACCCCATGCATACCTGGATATAGGCCTCCAAGCCCTGCCGCCGCTGCTCCAGTCCTCTGGTCCTCCAGTTGGGCAGGCGTTTTGAGGGGAAGTCGGGCACTTTGTACAATTTCTTGATCTGCCAGGAGGTTACCCCGGTGCCATCAAAGCATTCTGAGTGAGCCCTCAAGCTCACTGGGGCCTAGCCAAGAGTCTCCACAGCCCCGCCCGCCTCCCACCTCCAAGACCCTAATGAGCGATGGTTGGGACAGGATGGAGAGAGGCCCCAGCACCCTCCTCCCCCAAACGCCCGAGGTCTGGCCGGCCACGCATTGGCACCCACGGCTGCACCCTGCCCCTCTGCAGCCCAGTGCAGGGACTGCAGCCCGCAGGGAGGTCTGTGCCCAGGACAGGAGCCCTCCAGGGACTGGGGCGGCAACGGGGGTGGCAGAGGCCGCAGTTCGTCTCCCAGGAGGTGGGCAGGAACCAGGCCGAGGTCGGTCAGTCGGCGGCTGAGCCTCACCCTCTTGTGCAGCGCGTGGAACTCGCTGTAGCGCCTCTGCACGGTGTGCCTGCGCCCGCGGCACAGCACTTCCACTCGGAACACCTGGCGGGCGCGGGCAAGCGGCCAGGTGCGCGTGAGGCCCCGCGGGAGGGCTCAGCGGGACCCGCGCCCGCCACACGCCCACGCACAAAGCAGCCTAGGAGCCCAGCCGCTCTCCGGAGACCCTCCCACGCTCCCCACACGCTTAGGAGTGAGGGAGGACAGAGCCGCCCCCCAAGTCCCTGCAGTCCCTTAGGAACCTGGACCGTCGTCCACGGAGCTGGCAAACCCAAGCAGCCCGAGACCCTAGGCAGGCCGTCTCCCGACGGCCTGACCTGCGGCACTCAGACGCCCCGGCCGGCCGCGGGGTCCCCACTGTGCTCCGCGCGGGGGAATCTAACGGGTCCCCGCGTCCCCTCCCATCCATTGCTCCCCGCTCACCATGTGGCCTTTCTCTGGGCTTTTCCTGGGATCCTCGGCCTCAGGTCCCACAGACGGAATGTGAACTTCCAGCATCAGCCCCAAGGCTCGAACCCCTCCGAGTGCAAGGCTCGGCGCGCACTCTCCCGGCGTAGATCACCTACCCCTGTGGGCCCGGCGTGCCGGGACCCGCCCCTCGGGCTCGCAGGCCCCGCCCCAAGCTGGCCTCGCCCCGGGCGTTCCCTCCCGCCGCGGAGCCCTGCGAGGGGCTGATTAGCTGGCGCGCGGGTAGGCGGGACCGGACAGCGCCCCCTGAGCCCAGTGGGGCGCAGGTGGGGACGCTTCGGCAGAGAGCCATCCGTTTGTCAACATTTTCTGAGTGCCCGCTGACAGGAACGTAGATGAGCCAAAATTTCACCTACTCTTTATTGAGCGCCTAGAAAGGACCAGGGCCTGTGGGCGCTGGGCAGAAAGGGAGGCGGGGCCCAGACCTAGGCGCCTATCTTGGGGGCCAACCAAGGATGTTCTTTGCGTTCCTCACATCCTTTCCCTAGACCAGGCTGCCCTCCCCTCTCCATCTCCTTTCCTCCACCTTTCACCTGGACCCTTAAAGTGCATCCACGCCTGGGTAGGGCTTGGACCAATTTGGCTTTGATGTCCACCTCTCCCAGCATCCACAGTCCCCTTCATTCATTCATTCATTCATTCATTCATTCCATTTATTTATCTTTCAGTCCCAACCTTCTTCAGATCCAGTTTGTCGGAAAGAAGCAGTTTAGGGACCTGAGCTCTGCTTTGAGAATCAGATAGCTTGGATTTCCTGAACTGTGTAGACCTGTTCTCATCTGCAAAATTGGATGATATGCCTAAGGAGGGTGTATGAAAATGGAGAGGATCCCTGTTAAGCCCTCAGCATAGCAGGTGCTGAGAAAATGGCAGCTTGATGGCTTGTCCTGGAGGCAGAGGTGGGTGGTGTGCGTACAGGGCAATAGATGGGAAAGAGGGACAGTGGAAGATGGCACTAGGCTGCTACTGCCCACTCCTCTGGGCAGGGCCTTCCTGGGTATGAGGCAGGATTTAATCCAGAACTCTCACCTCTTGAGCTAGAAAGGGCCTCTGCTCCCCTACTAAGCCCCCCTACACTCTGCTCCCATAAGGGAGCTGTCCCATTCAGCAGAGTCCTCAACACCCCTGACTTCCCCCAACTAAGGCCTGGGCAGGCAGTGGAGGGAAGGAGGACTAGAGGCCTCATGGTGGGAAGGAAGAAACAGAGCACCTGTCTTAGGGTTAGAGGCTGACAGTGGGGGAGTCACGGACTCCCTCCCTCCCCTGCTAGTGCAGAGGTGCTTCTGAGCTGGAGCAGAATCTCTCCCCATCCCCACCCAGTTCTGCCCCTAGAGACAAGCTGAGAGGATGACCCCTAAGGGGGAAAGCAGGTTTCACCAATATTATGCCCCACACTTTCTTCCCTCAAGTTCCATCTCACAAAAGCCCCAGAATCAGGATGGTGAAACTTGTCGGAAGGGAAATGACCCAGCATGAACAGAAGTGCTGGGATTTCATTTCCTCCCTTGCACTTTGGAGCCTCCTCACTCAAAGAGCGTGTTCTCGTTGTCTACTGACCAGGGAGTCCTCTCGCAGGACCCTCGGACCTCTAAGCTTCTCAGTCACCTATCCTAAGGACTGCCTACCACGCAGAAACGGCTACATCTCCTAATGGATCTCCCTGTTTTTCCTCGCCTCCCTCTCTCATACAAGGTCCATTCTCTACCTAGAGGCACAGACCACCATTAAAGCACCTGCTTGAAACCTTACGAAGGCTTCGTGTTGTACTTTGGACAGTCCGCTCCCTACCACAGTCTCCAGAGCTCTAAGTGACCTAGCCCAGCCTCCACCTCACGTCTCATTTCCTGTCCTTCCCTTTGTGTACCAGGCCCCAGCCACAGTGACCTTCCAGTTCTTCAAACCCAACAAGCTCTTTCCTGCCTTAGGGCCTTTGTGCTTGCTGTGACTCCTCACCTAGTGCGCTTAGCCTAAAAATTTCAGTTCTTGGCCTAAAACTCACCTCCTCAAAGAGACCTTCCTTCCTGACCACTTAGACTATCATATCACCCTGTCTCTGCCCTTATTCCAATACATAGTTACTGATTGTTTATTGTGTGTCTCCCTGGATTTCCCGATCTGCCCCCGGCTCTGAGTGCCATCAAGCCAGTGTCTTATCAGTGGTTGCTGCCCTGGTGCCAAGAATCTAGGAGACACTCAAAAACCATTTGTTGGCTGAAAGCCTTTCTGACTGAATGGCGGGAGGGGACGTTGGGAAAAGGCTGGGGAGAGGAGGGAAGGCTTGGGAGGGAGGCAGAAGGGGGAGGAGTTAGAGGGGTAATAACAGGAATCCTCTGCCCACCTTCAGAGCTGGAAATCTCTCTCCCTCTCTCTCTGCAGATTGTTGCTCACACCTTGTTTATGTGCTTAATTTTCAGGTGTTCCCGAGAAACCTCAAATCAGTGGATTTCCATCACCAGTTTTACAGGGAGATTTGATGCACCTGACTTGTAAAACATCGGGTAGTAAATCTGCAGCTCCTGATTCTGCAGTGTTCCGCAGCCATGAGTGAAGATCGAGTTGAAGAAAAGCAAGATCCGTGGCCTGGAGACATTTTAAGATGTCTTTGGGAGATAAAACAAGCTATGGAGAATATTTTCCTGTAAAGAGGAATACGTGACACAGTGTAAACTCCAAAGCACTTATTATAATCAAAGGAAAAGCTTGTTTTCTGTATGCTTTAAGCACTGGCCAGCTCAGTCCCACACACTATGGAACAGGTGTGTAGACCCTCAAAGTGACTTCTATTTTTAGAAGGAGTTTTACCTTGCAAGCATCTGTCTTTTCTCCATCACCCTCTAACACATGACTTTCATTTCCAAGTTCTTAAGTGAAAGGGGCTTAAAAGTACTGGCTGGTCACACAGTCTTGGCCAAAGTATTTCCAGATTAGATTAAAGACCAGTGGTTCTCCAACCTCCGCAGGCATCATCATCACCTACAAGGCCTGTTAAATCTCAAATAGGGCTCTGAGCCCAGTTTCCCTAGCAGCTGGGCCTGGCGTGGAGCCGCACGGTGTGCCGGTTTTCACAACTTCCTGGGTGCCTCTGCTGCTCCGGGTTGGGGACCACATTGTAGAGACCAGTCTCTCAACTCCCATACCAGCTCCTGAAGATGAAGCTCATGGCCAAGCAGAGGGCAGCAAGGGCTGGGGGCAAAGGTGTTCCCCTCCTGGGCTCTTTCTGGTGAGCTGCCCTGGGTGGGGGCGGGGCAGGTGGGATGGACCGCTGCTCCCCCCGGTGGCTGGGCCCTGCACCACACCCCCGCCAAGCCCTCCCGCACTGGCACTGGCACACAAAGCCGCTTTCACTGGGCCAGTTTGACCCAGCTCAGGAGGTGGTTAACTCCTTTAAGAAAACACACAGCTCTAGGGCTTGTGGGTGCAGCTGGGGCACTGAGAGGCTGGATTCTTCCCCACAGGGACACCACTGGGCAGCGGCCGGACGCTTCACCCAGGGAGGGGCAGGGGAAGAGTTCTGTTCACCTGGGCAAGCTCAGACTGTTCCCTGAGCTCAGGGTCCTATCTGCACAGCAGAGTGCTGTGTGTGGATTAAAAGACATCATGCTTCCAAAGTGTTTAGCTTGGGCCTGGCACACAGTAAATAAACATTAGCTATTATTATTTACTGAATTATATGAATTCGCCCTAGGTCAAAACGGTGGGTCCATCGTTACATATGGTCCATCCTAATACACTGTTGCTGATTCAACTTTAAAACAAACTTTACTATTCCTCTTTCAGTTTTTCATATTTTCCTGTAAAGAGGAATACGTGACATAATGTAAACTCCAGAGATTGCAGGGTTAGCTTAAAAAATGAACTATTTTAACTACTAATTCTGGGATCAGAATTTTCCTAATCTTGTCAATATTGTGCAATCAAAAAAAGGAACAATCAATGGGAAGCAGAGTTTGGTGTAAATCAACAACCATCCTGTTCATCCTAACAGCCTCTGACTTCTTACTGATTGCCTTTCTAATGAGTCCATCTTATCAATTTTAAATAGTAAAATAAAACAATACTGGGGCGCCTGGGTGGTTCAGTCAGTTAAGCGTCCCCCTCTTGATTTTGGATCAGGTCATGATCTCATGGTTCATGAGTTCGAGCCCCATGTGGTCGGGCTCTGCACTGGCCTTGCTTGGAATTCTCTCTCCCTCTCCGCCCCTCCCCCACTTGTGCTCACTCTCTGAAAACAAATAAATGTAAAAAACAACAACACAATGCCTTTATGCTGAATACTGGGCTTCGGTGTAGATGTCTGAAAAAATAGTTCTGCTAAAACATCTTAAATTATTGAGAAGTCTAAACTCTTCATTTTATAGATGAGGAAACTGAGGTGTGAGGAAGGAGAAGTGAGCCCCCGGGGGAGGGTTGAGTTAGGAAGGTACCTTTGATAAGCATGTCCTGCCAGAGCCCCAAAAGCAAAGTTTGGCTCAGGGTAGGCTGGTGACCTGCTTCTCAGGGGACACACAGGCTCTAGCCCTGGGGCTCCAGCCAGCGGTGTCCCCCTGTCCAGGTGACAAGGACAGCTCAGTTGCTTCAGACATGACCCAGGGCGGAGCAGAGGGAGCTGGCAGAGGCCACCCCAGCCACCTGCCATCCAAGGCTGCACAGCTTCCCAGGGAGGGTTTTTCTGGTGCTACAGCAACTCCCAACACCCCTAGAGAGACTGTGCCAGGGAACCATCCACTAGGCCCCTAGTGTGCCCAGCACGGAGGTTCAAGGAAGAAAGATGTGCTCAGGAACCCTCAGGTCACAGGCGTTTACTGTGAACAGTTGTGGGATGGAGAACTGAGGCCAAGAGGAAAGCCGGGCCAGTGGCTGGGAGGGGCCACAGCCCCAGGCCCCTGAGGTCTGGAACTGAGATGCCACCACCTCCCACTTTCTGTCTGTGGTTTCTCAGCAAGTGCAGGTTTAAGTCTCTGCCACAAACGTCCTCAGGTACTCACCCAAGCCGCTCCTCCGTCTTCCAAGAACTTTTGCTCTTGCTCCCCAACTGGGCCACACACTGTGCACGTCTGGGGAGAGAGTATCTCGCAGAGGTCAGAGAAGCTCACATGCCTATAAGGCCGGGGGTGACATGTCCTGAACAGGTCTACTGTGTGGATTTGTTCAAGTCTTTAAGAAAACAATTTAGTGGGTTAATATCTAGGTTCCTCTTGTCCATCCCTGTCTCGGATGTGTGGGACGTGGTGTGGCAGATGAGCTGAGTCAAGCAGATTGGGTTCAAGTCTTAACCTCTGAGTGCTGGGGTGTGTGTGACCTTGGGCAAATTGCTTAATGTCTCAAAGCCTCAGTCTTCTAATAAAGATAATGATGCCTACCTGGGAGTTCTCTGGTGCTAGATGTCAAAGCCCAGAGGTACCGAGTAGGTGTTTAACACATGACAGGCCTTATCCTTAGGCCCCTCAGTGGGAAGGGATTACTCTGTTCCCATACTTGTTCCTACCTGCCAGGTGCCTTATCGTTATTTCTTGTGAGGCTGTGTGTCATCACTGCTGTCACTCAAAATGGAAGAGGAAGCTGAGAGCTCTGAAGCTAGGAGGAGGGCACTCATTTGGAAACAATGGTCACACCCCTTTAGGGAAAGGTCCTAACTCAGATTGGACAGTTTTTCTGTGACTTTTCTGGACCCAAAGTGCAGCTGCTCCTGGGAGCAGCCCTGGGGGTGAGTGGTGTGTTCTGCCCCAGAGGTTTGGTCATCACAGCCAGAGGGGTATTTCCATAACTGACAAGGGCAGAGTGGAGGAATCCTGGCTGAGGCAAGCCATGGTGGCTGTCGCGTCTAGGCCTGCAGGCCTCCCCTGGAAGATGGAGACCATTCCTGCCAACCACAGCAAGGCCTACCAGACCCCAGATCAGGCCTGATTTCTGAATCCCATCCAAAAGCACAAGATCTGGGCCCACAGGCTCCTAAAACAACAATCACCAGAGCTGAATGGTGGCCACTGTCCCCTTAGGCTGCCTTTGTGGGTGGAAGAGAGCAAGGAGATGGGTAGGAACAGCACAGTCCATGATCTTAAGGAGTTCAGAGCCCCAGAGGCTAAGGAGATCATCTCAGAGATAACAATGCACACTGGGTGAGAAAGACCAGAGGTTTAAGAGGATGACAAAACATGACAGAGGAGGAGGTGTTCCCATTCCAGTCTGGGGGTAGAATGAAAAGTGTATCAAGAAAACTTCCTAGAGAATATACATACAGAGTAGGCCTCAAAGGACGCACTGGATTGTTTTCTCAAAATGAAAACACTTTATTTAATTTTTATGATTATAAAAATACATAGAAATTCCAAGCAACATAAAATGCTATAAAAATTTCAAATAATGCAAAATTCCGTCCCGCTAGGGAAATCGTCGTTAACAATTCAATCAACATCTTTCCCATATATATAAACTTATATATATATAAACTTACACCATACTGTACATGCAATTCTATAGCCTACTTTTTTCACTTAAAAATGGTTTCCTTATTAATGAATATAGCTATGTATCATCTTCAATGACTGGAAATCCAATTGTATTATGTACCATAATTCACTTAATCCCTTCCTGCTGTACATTTAGATTGATTTCAATTTTTACAACTGTAAACAATGCTAAGATGGGCCCCTCTGCAATCTTCTTCATTGACTTGGTTTCTAGACGTGTCTATGAGAATCCCCAGTGAATGTTCTGACATGTTCACCAGTGCTTTCCACCTGCATCTACTTCCATTCCCATTCAAGACGGGTGTAATTCTGAGACTGAACAGAGGGATGGGTGCTGAGACAAAGCCCACCATTAATAAAAGGCTCCTTAGGCCTGGGCTGCACAGAAGTGAGGAAGGAAAGAGCACATCTGGGGGCAGTTTCTGTGAGGTGTCGGCATTGCTGTGACGCACTAGGACATAAACAGGAAAGGGGAGCGGGAATCCTCCCACAGAACACTGAGCGTGCCAGGTAGCAGAACCTCCAGTTGAAGATGGTTCAATGTTACTCTATTTGGCATCTATTTTGACCCCAATCTTTGCCGAGGACCATCGAGTTACAAAGACGTACCGTACTACTTCAGAGAGCTGACTGTTTGGCAGAAAGCGCCAACATTAACCACACATCTGGTGTCACAAGACATTGGCAGACGACGTACACACCCTCCTCACGGCCAGCAGACAGGGATGAGTGGCTCTCACCCATTTCTAACTCTCAACTCAGGCCCAACTCTCCCCAGGTGCAGAGCAGAAAATCTTAGCCAGTGTTTCTGAAGACAGAGTGTTCGGTTCCGGAGCGTGACAGTTGCAGCAAAGGTCTGTCCTTCTTTGCTCCAGGAGGGATCACTATCGTCTTCCCCTTTCCTCCTGCTCCCCTAGGCTGCCATGGGGAAAATTCCACCACTTTAGGGCCTGATGCCCCTCAAAACCCATGGTTTACACTCCCATTTGAGCCATAACCATGCTCAGCAATGGACACTCCTCCATCACCACGCTCTCTCTTCAAGAATCACTTCCCAGTTCCACCCTTAGCAGATTTCATTATCATCTCTCGGTTTTTAAATTTTGAGCCGCAAAGGCATTCTTTATTTTCTTTAGAGTTCCCAGCTACAGGTGCATTCAGAATGAAAGTCTTCTGGAAGAGGTTCAAAGTTACAAATACCTATGTGTGACACTTTGTCATACCCACTTCTCATTTAATCTGTCACTAAGTACTCATATTGAATGCTGGGGTCTGTCCAGCTCAAAGTCCTCATGCTCAAGACTCTGGGGCCCAGAGATTCTTGAGGGAAATAACACATGGGGAAGTGGGGAAGTACAGACTTGTCTCCACACCTCTTCTCTAAACCACTTGACTCAAAATAGGAAAACCAGATATCCCTATTTGAGAACACTTTAATTATTAAGCAGGAGACCTATATTCTGTGCCCCACCACCCATCTTCCTTCCCCACGCCTCCTCGCTTGGCAGTGAGGCTCCCTGCTCTGTGCATTTGTCCCCAGCCACAGCTCTGATGGCAATTCCCTTTCTCTCCTCTGAATTTTACTGACATGCTAAGTCTGACCCCTACCCTTTAAATAAAACAAAGCCTCCTTTTTCTGGGTTTCTCTCTCACCTCCCAAGATGGGCCTCCCTTCCCATTCAGAGGAGCACTTACACCACATGACAGTCAGCACTTAACTGCTTCTGCTCCCATCTGCTCCAAGCCTACTTTGCTTCCTGTGTTCCCTGTGTCATGAAGGGCTCCCTTCAACTGTCTATCCTTTCTCCCCCTAGGGGAAAGCACAATCGCAGCCCCCACTACCACAAATTATTCAGCCGAGTTTCCCACATTTGGGGAAATTGAGGGGGTCAGCACATCTAGAGTATAATGGACAAGGCTTGTCCTGGGAAAACCACCTTTGTCATCATGGTATCTCTCCTGCCAGGTAAGTGTCGTTCACGGTATTACCCTAAAATCCCAGCCAGAAACCTGCAGGTCAAGCCACCTCATCCCTCAGGCCTCTCATCAGACCAGTGACCAGGTGCCTGTGGTTCCGGGCACCATCCACCTTCTCAGCCTCCCCCAGAGCCCATTCCTTCTGTCCTCCTCAGCAACCTGCCTGGCTCGGATGAACATGCCTGCTCTCCTTGCCTCCAGCCTCACACCTGATGGGTCTAAATCACAAATGTGACCACATTATTCCCTGCTTAAGTCCCTTCAGGAGGTCCCCACCCTTTTGGCTAATGTGCCCAGTGCTTCACAAGTCGTATCAAGCAGAATGATCTGGCTCCTGCTCCTCACTCTCCGCAGGCTACTCACTGACTTGACCCAGGCCACACCAAGCCACCTGCATTTCCCTAGGTGTGCTCACCTCCCACCGTCAGGAGACAGGGAGGCAGAATGCGCACAGCAGAAGGGGCAAACACCTCTTCACCTTTAAGCCACAGTTCAAGCATCCTCTTCTCTACAAAGATCTTCTTCCTGAGTCTCCAGGTAGAATGACTCTTTCTTTTGTACCACTGTGCAGGCCCTGGACTCAGTGTTTGCTTTCTCAGCTTCCACGTCTGCAAGCTCTGTACAGAAATGAACAGGCCTGTCAGCCTCCAGTGCCAGATGCTGAGGACAAAGTTCTGAAACCAGAGAGTCCATCCCAAGGAAATAATAGACTTGCATCACGATGATCACAGGATGGAATATAACAAAGGATAAAGTTTTAGAATTAAGTTTCTTTGGAGAAGAGAGTTGTAAGTATGGAAAAGGGAGAAGACTTAGATAAAGTGGGGCTAGACTCTAAGGATCTGTGTGAATTCATGCTAATATCTAATTCTTTTTATGTCGTCTCTCTCTCTTGCTATTGCTATCTATCTTCATCCTTACTTACTTTCTTGTTCTGCCAAGAGCCTAGAAGCAATGACACTGCAGGAGCAATGAACCCTCCCAGCACCCAGATCTTGGTTTCTAAATATATTTAATTCTCCATTAAAAGAAAATGAGACTCTGCAGAGAAATGGCTGATTCCAGAGCTGGGGCAAGGAAGATACAAGAGAAGCCTGAAATGTTTTATTATGCCAGAAAGTAAGAAAAGTATCTTAAAAAAAAAAAGAATGGGACAGGTTAAAATATCATCTGAGATGATCTGAAAATTAAAGTAAATCAAAGTAAAGGCTTGCAATGCCCTTTGAGTCAGGTTGGAATCCATTCATGCATACTGATAAACAAGTAGATTATTAAGTAGAGAGAAAGGAGCTTTTTCTTTAGTAGAATGCCAACCAGTAAATGCAGATTATGGAGTCAGAAAAGCACACTGGAGGAGGAACAAAGTATTTACATGATTCCAAAGTATCTCCCCACAAATTCCTTGTTAATTACAAAGGGGAAAACAGCAACCGAGCGGTCAGAGTTACCTTCAGCATTAACGGTATCAACTGACACCATGTACCAACTTAAAATGCACTGAGGAAGCATCACTTCTGTGATGTTCCCGCCTAATGGCAGAACTCTAATACAGTCACATGGAACCATGAGGCCAATCCAAATCAAGGGACATTCCACAGAATACCTGGCCTGTATTCTTCAAAAATGCCAAGGTAATGAAAGGCAAAGAAAGGCTGAGAAGCTCTTCTGGATTAAGAGAGACCCCCGTGATCACATGTTACAACTAAGCACCAGGAAAAAGGGAATAGCTACTAGGATAGCTGACAAAATTTAACTATGGACCATGGGTTATGTAACAATATTGTTTCAGTGTCAAACTTCCTGATTTTGATAACTATACTTATGGTTGTGAATCATGAGAGATGTCCTTGCTCTTAAGGAAATGCATACCAAAGATTGGGGGGTAAAGGGGCACAATGTCTGCAACTTACTCTCAAATGCTTCAGAAAATACAAGATGTAAATACAGAAAATAAATCATAAAGCAAATAAGGTAAAATGTAAACATTTGGTAAATCTGGGTAAAGGCTATAAGGGAGTTCTTAGCGATATCCTGTAACTTTTCTAGACGAGTGAAATTATATTAAAATTTACCCAACAACCAAGAATCCAACAACAAGGGATGAGTCAGAATTATGGTACAATCACTCTGTGGAAGCCTTAAAATTACACAGCCTTACAAATAAAATTTGTGAAGATATGTAACAATATTGAAGAAATGCTTATAAAACATACACTGCTGAATGATAAAAGGATACAGAATATTCTGTGCGTGTATTATTACAATTTGCAAAAGCATACACAAGACTGGAAGGAAAAAAATCAAGGGTGATAATACGGATATTTGGGGATAGGGAGAGACTGAGTGACTCTTTCTAAAAAACAAAACAAGACCAAAAAACAACTGTTGAAAAAAAAACTTGCCAGCACCGCACCCCCCCACCCTGTATCCCTGCCCCCACCAGGCTGGTGCACTGGAAATCAGTGTTGTTTACCTCATTCCCTTGCCTCAGGCTGCCCCTCCCCAAACCTTAACCAGCCACCAAAGAGAACTAACAGAGCAGGTCTGGAATGGCCACAGAAAAGGGCATCTCTGGGGTTGGAGGTGGCGGACAGGAGTGGTGAGGTTCCACAGCAGGCAGTCTGCCAACCCTGTCCCACAGAGCAGCTTCACAGTCCTCTCTGACCAGCCAGCTCAAGCAGCTGTGGCCACAGCTGAGGGGAAGCCCGGCAACAGCACATCTGAGACTCAAGCCTCCCATGCCAGGCCAGGACAGAGACCCCTTTGAGCACCCTTGGCCTATGCTGACAACACTCGGGCCCTGTTGCTGGCATGCTACCTCCTGGGCACAGAGAGGAAAGCTTCTTGGAACCTCAAAAAGTTTAGGAACTCTTGGATGACCTTATCTAGAGGCAGAGTGCTGGCTCTGTTGTCAACGGAGATAAAGTGTTAAGTCCTTATCAGCCCTTTACACTTTTAACAGGAATCAGGCTACTGAGGACTTGGCAGAAAGAAATTCAGAACAGAGGTCTGCTATCACAGGGTAAGACTCAGAGAGCCCTTGGCAGCTAAGGGAAACAGGGTGGGAATAAGAATGAGTCTGCCTCCTTTGCAGGAGAATCCATTGTCCCTCTTACTATAAGAGATGTCTTTATAACTCCTCCCTAAAAAAGTAGGAATAAGAATTAAACAGATTAAGAGACCCTCAGAGTAAGTAGCTGAGGTAGATAGAAAAAAAGAAATCCTGATTCCATAAGGAAGCAGTAGCAAAAAGCTTAAACTCCTGTGGAGAGAAACTTACTATACCTGGGCAACTTCTTTGTTCAGAGTATTCTGGACCTATTTCCCAACTGCTCCCCAGCCTAAAGCAAAAAGCACCACCATTCTGAGTCATGTGACCTGATTTTAAAATATTTTATTACATAATCTTTTCATGGCACCATCAGGAGTAACAAAAAACGTTATTCCCAGTTCCTAACCACATCCTGAAAAATATACATTTGTATTTATATATTTATATCAATACTCCACCCCTATCCCCTAACTCCACCACCTAGTGTAGGTCTTTTGCTTAAAGCAAGAAACTACTCTCTCAGGTAAGAAAATATATATGGAAGCTAAATGAAGTAACGGTTAGAATGGGGACAGGTTGGTCGTGGGGGCAGGGAGGAAGGGGTACAGTCCAGGCTAGGCAGGATGCATCACTGGAGTCCAGCAGAGGTGGAGGACAGTGTATAAAAAGGCAGCGTCAGGCAGGTGGGCTCTGGTGTCCTTGGTCCATTAGGAGATGGCCTTTGCCTCAGGAAGGAAGGCTTCCCAGTACTTTGCCAGCTGCAAAGAAGTGGGGACAATAAGCAAGTGCCTCCACCTAGTGGCAGAACCGGAGCCTGGGAGGGGAGCAAGCACAGTGCCACAGCACTTCCTCAGGAGCCTCAGATACCCAAAGGGAGGGCCGGAGCTGAGGCCAAGCTGAGGAAATGGCTAGGCTGAGAGTGGACCCTGGACACAATGGCCAGGCAGCCAATCTTACCTCTCTCTAGACTTAGAAGAAACATCAAGTGCAAAGGAAATCTCTAAACACAGTCCTGCTTCTGCCCTGGAGGAAGTATCCCTGCGGGGGCTACAGCTTTGCCCAGCTCAGTTAGTGCCTCACAATGGGGTCCATTGTTCAATACACTGGGCCTCAGCCTTAAGAGAGTTAGGTGTGGTACCATGGGGGTTACAGAGATAGTTGAGGTTTGTTCTTAAAAACTAACTTATTGTAGGATTAGGCCTAATCACCTACTTAGCTTAGCGAAACACCTACTAGATGCTCCATGTGAGAGCAAAAGGGCCATCCCATCCCATCCCCAAAGCCCCAACTAGGCAGCTGGCCTCTAGAGCAGGCAGAGAGAATGAAAGTCATGTGTAACTTACATACCTGCTGCTGTGAATACAGGAGTGTCTCAAGGTACTTGATCACGTGGTTTTTGAAGTCCTTGGATTTTTCTTTCTATAGGAGACAGGATTCTACACTGATCATCCAGACAGTTGCTCTGATCTCTCTTGATGGGATGGTGTTTATTGCTGACCAAGGCCAAACACAGCCACAGAAACTACAGCTAGCAGCTGGAATAGCTAGAATTTCCAGCCAAATAGCTCCTGCCAAAGCCTCGCAAGGCTATCTTGCATGGTTGGCAGGGGGTGGGAGGTGGAGGGAGAGAGGAGAAAGGAAATGGGACCAGAGGACACAAGACAGTTGCAAGCTTTGTGTTTTAACTTCTCTGGTCCAGCAGCAAGTGTAGGACAGCCACTTTGCCTCAGAACATAAATGTGAACACACACAGATGGCCATGTCTGTTCACAACAACTACCAAGTCACTGCCACTTCAACCGGTCTTCCCACTCAACAGACGTGAACAAAACCAACACTACCACTAAACAAGGTATTGTGCACTTGTGAGAAGTAGGATATTTTCTACCTCACCTCAAACCGTATCACTTCTTTTCGGACCACAGTTGAAATCCTTTCAAAGTCC